TCTAAAATAAGTCTGAGTTCTGCCCTAGAAATACCTGTCTCCTGCATTGTCTGTAAAGAATGCTTTAGATAGCAAGGTCAGAGATGGGCATGAACATTTCAGTAAGATTAATTCTGTTCAGACTCTATATGATGTTGGGACAGTGACTGTCTCATCCTGATTACTAATAGCTCCTTAGGTCATGTGTAAGCCAGTCTGCGCCTTTTTGTATTTAGTAATTGTGCATTGACTGAAAATTAACATAAGGACTGTTAACAAAGGCAAATATTGAAGTGGAAATGGAAATATGGAAATTGTTCACGCTACAGGCTATCAAACAATGCCGTTCTCCTTCATACTGATAATCCTGAAGGAGTGTTGAGATATGAAACAAACTCCTAGATGAGGTTAAATTGATGTGAAAGTACACAGACAGAAGAAATAAGTATATAGATACGTACTCCATGGGCAGTATAGGGAAAGGAGATAAAACAAGGCACACTTGGACACTACAGGTTAATACCTGTGGGAGAAAATGCTAAGAAATTCAGCCACAGAAGAGAAACCTAGGAAGCAATAGTACAGAAAGAGATGTGTACAGATAACAAATAGAAAGCAACACAGGACTTCTCAGAATAGATGGCCAAGCAAAACGGGTTAACAGAACCAAGATTAAGTCAGTAAGCAGTCAGGCACATACCTCTTCTTTATCTTTGAGACTGCATCCAACACATAAAAGTTCGAACATCATGTAAAAAAAAATTTGGGGTTATTTAAGTGCCAAGAAGCTATTGGCAATTTAAAAAATTCTTAAGATCACTGAAGGTGATCTTGAGGAGAGAAGGGAAGATGGGAAAAATGAGTTGTGAGGTAGATGAAAATATAGACAGCTTGGCACACTTATACCTGCTGGATACAGATGTCAGTAAATCAGCGTGATGTTGTTAAAACCAAGCAGAGAGAAACTGAGTTGAAGAGTGGTATTAAAAAACATGGGATGGAATGTGAGACCTGTAGTCTGGGGAGCTCTGTTGCCAGCCCTGTCTTAGGGAATTACGAAAAACAAGCTAGACATCACATTAGAAAGAAAACAGAATAAAAACTGAATATATCCTAGTACATGGACTAATGTAAATGTCCTAATGTCTAAACTGGTGCTATTCTTTTAAAGATGTTCAATTAATGTTTTTTTTGTGAACTGAGTTTGCAGTAATAGCTCTACAATACTAAGACTGTCCTATGTGGAGGGGGATTCACATCCTTCAAGGCATGAGACAGAAATTAACCCATTTCTTTCCTGTTTTTAGAGAGGACTATATTCATACAAAGAAGATGGCTGGTTTGGATGGTTGGCTGTACCACACTTGGTCTCCTTGGCTGGAGGACATTGGTGTTAGAGGGGCTAAAGGAAAAAGTGTCTGGCACTGACCACCATTTTTCCCCAGAGTAGGGTTGGAGCATTTGATGTGTGCATGAGGTCTGGAAGTATCAGGAGTGTTCCTGTTTCCACCAGGACAGATAAGCCTCCAGCACAGGGACACTGCTGAATGTGGTAATGTTGTTGTAGCTCATCTTTCAGTTTGCTGACCCTAGACTTCAACACAAGAATGTGCTATAAGTTAGCTGTTACCACTCAGAAACTAGCTTGTCAAGTCACTGTCTTTCCTCCTGCCAAACATCACTGGCCAGCGTGAGTGAAAATGTGAGTGGACTGTCAGAAGTTACAGTTATTTATGAGCAATGTAATCTGCAATCTCAAGACATGCACTAGGTGGAAGAAGGCAGGAAAGGTAAGGAGCTAAACTAGATAGCCCAATGTGCCTTTTAGATTGATTTTGGAGGGCACTGAATCAAAGATCATTAAAAACTAAAACTCTACCACTTGTAAGTCCTCCTTTAATTAATTTACAGGAAAGCCAATGATACTGTTTAAAATTTTGTCATCATGGAACCATACCTGGCAGTTATGTGTCTGTCTTTACTGTTATTAAGGAGATTATGAAAGAGTCACAATTTTTGTTCTTGACAGTTTTCTAATCTCACAAATGGCAACTTCCTTTATTACTTTTAAAGTAAGGTTAGTGATGTGGCAGTGAAATAAAACACACTTTGGTTAAGGCTTGTACCTTCCATCAGAGCCAATTTTCCTAAGACTGTGGTGGTATAGCTTTTGAAATTGGCTCCAGGCTTGGCTCTGAGTGCAGGAGAGAAGTCACTTTACTGTCTCTTTCTGGATATGGTTCATTGTTGCACACATTTCCGCCATCCATCCTTTGATTCAGCTGGATGACAGTTACCTTGGAGTGGCAGGTGGGCTCTCCATTAGTGGAGGAAGGAGATTGGCAGTGGAAAAGCTGACGAAAGCATTTGTAAAACTGAAACAACAAAAAAACAATTCAAGACATAGGTGCTTGGCAGGCTACAATTCATAGCATTTCTATAACACCTTCAGGGCAAGGAAACATGGTTTATTAAGCTTGTATCTTTTTCTCAAATAGGGGTTAAATATTTTTTCATCATGAATATGTGTTTCTTGCTGCTTAAGACTGAAGTTCAGTTAAATTCGTTAAATTCTTTAAAATTGATACACTTAGCTCTTCTAAGACCATAGATTCTGTAAAGGGTAAAGCTGTAGAACAATATAAAAGATTTTCAGAACCTTTAGTTTATGATAAAAGAAGATTTAATCACAGAAGTAATTGGTTTATGGTTACTTCACACATCAGGCAGGGAAAAAATCAATTTGGATAATCTAATGATACACAGCAGGGAGAACATAGGGTTCTTTTCATTAGGAAGCCATTGAAATTCTCTGTGTTCCCAAACTGCAGACTAAACTTCAGAAAATGACTCTGCTTAATTAATGAACCAGAATAATTTTTTTTAATTCATTTCACTTCTGAGATAAACACATCATGCAGTGGATGAGCAATTGGCTCACAGGTCAAGCACAGAGGGTAACTGTGAATGGGGTAATGTCAGTCTGGTGACCAGTCACTAGTGGGGTAATACAGGGCTCCATCTTGGGCCCTGTGCTCTTCAACATCTTCATAAATTACTTGGATGCAGTAGTGGAAGGCATACTAAGCAAGTTTGCAGATGACACAAAACTGGGAGGAGCTGTTGACTCCTTCAAAGGGAGAGAGGCCCTGCAGAGAGACCTCAAGAAATTAGAGGACTGGGCAATCACCAACCAGATGAAGTTCAACAAAGGAAAGTGCCAGGTTCTGCACCTGGGATGGGGCAACCCTGTGTGTACAGACAGACTGGGGAATGAGATGCTGGAAAGCAGTGCCACAGAAAGGGACCTGGGGGTCCTGGTTGATGGCAAGTTGAATATGAGTCAGCAGTGCCCTGGCAGCCAGGAGGGCCAACCCTGTCCTGGGGACCATCAGGCAAAGCATCCCCAGCTGTTAGAGGGAGGTGATTGCCCTGCTCTGCTCTTCACCGGTGCAGCCTCACCTTGAATATTGTGGCAGTTTGGGGCACCACAATATAAGATATTAAGCTATTAGAGAGTGTCCAGAGGAGGGCACTGAAGATGTGAAGGGCCTTGAGGGGAAGTCATATGAGGAGGGGCTGAGGCCACTTGGTCTGTTCAGCCTGGAGAAGAGGGGAAGAAGAGGAGCAGGCACTGATCTCTTCTCTGTGGTGACCAGTGGCAGGATCCAAGGGAATGGCTTGAAGTTGTGTCAGGGGAGCTTTAGGTTGGATATTGGAAAAAGGTTCTTCACCCAGAGGGTGGTTGGGCACTGAAACAGGCTCCCCAGGGAAGTGGTTGCAGCACCAAGCCTGAGAGAGTTCAAGTGTTTGGATGATACTCTCAGGCACATGGTGTGACTCTTGGGCATGGTCCTGTGCAGGGCTAAGAGTTGGACTCGATGATCCTTGTGGGTCCCTTCCAACTCAGCATATTCTGTGATCTACCCAAAACACCTCTGATATAATGAGTTACATCAGTTCTCATCTGTAAGTGCCAAGTGAGCAGAATTATACAACTACCTCCTCTGAGAGCTGACACTCATATTCAGCAGATAGGGATACCAGTAAAGCAACAAGTGTTTCAATACATTTTCTACACAAATTTATTTTTTAAGTGAAATCTTTAAAAAAATAAATGGTGTCCAAGACTTACTTTATGTTATTTTCCTTTCATATGGCTATGTGAAACAGAAAAGGCTTCCAGAAGCTATGATTGATGTGAAAGTATTGCAGTTTAGGCAGTGCTGTTGATCAGTATCTGGTATTAGTCCCTTTGAAAATGTGCAGCTGTAATAGTAAAATTTCTCTTGTTTCAAAGCTATAAGACCACAGTTGACAGCGCTGATGATACTTGGCCATTGACATGTGGCAGGAAATAAATATGTGCTGTCATTTTGTGGATTTCTCCTTGCTGAGCAGGAGGTGGTCAGGGGTTTTTCGTTGTGACAACACTGCTCTGAGTAGAAATTCGCCACCTTTGCTATCTCTCCATGATACTTTTCACAGAATTGTCAGAAGCTGTGGGCTTCTGTGCCACCACTGTATGGGTGATGTTTCTTCATATGCCCTTCTGCATGTATGTAGGCTTCCTTCTTGGCCATGTGTTCCTGCTTAGAGAGAAGTAAGTGGATGGAAAAGTGAAATTGATTCAAGTTCAGACTAAGAAAGACCAACATTGTAATAAGGTGGAGATGTTTCAAGGATTCTTGTGTGGGATGTTTTGTGGACAGTACATAAGGTAAATGGGGGGAGGTGGGAAAAAGCAGTCTTCTCACTCAGGAGGCTGATGGTAAAATGCAAATCCATATAGGCTTTTTACTCTTTCTTTAGGGATCGAAATCTTTATGTATCAGGAACAAGTGAAAGCCGCTCTAATAAAAGGAACTATTGCTTCTCTTAATGATTTTACAGAGTTAGTACTTAAGGTGTGCAACAACAAAGGAAAGTGGGAAAGAAAAAGGAGATTGGATGACTGCAGGAAAAATTCCGCAAGGAAAATGAAACCTGGGGTTCACTTTTGTTTTCACTTCTTGCTCCAGGTATCCTCATCATGATGTCCATGTGTAATGAAGTACACGTGTACGAATACATCCCTTCAGTCCGGCAGACCGACCTATGTCACTACCATGAACTCTACTACGATGCAGCTTGTACCTTAGGGGCCTACCATCCACTGCTCTATGAGAAGCTCTTGGTGCAAAGGATGAACAAAGGTTTGCAGGATGATCTGTATCGGAAGGGGAAAGTCATTTTGCCAGGGTTCAAAGCTGTCAAGTGCCCCAAAAGAAATTTCTCACACTTATAGAAGTAAGTCCTTCAGAAACAATGTGCAATAAGGTACTACTGTCGTACTATAAACAAGAAGAGAATACTTGAAAAAACGTATCTTAGACCAATCTAGTCTTGAGTCTATAAATTGTAATTAAGTAGCAGGCATGAGAAATACTTCTTTTCTGAGCCTGAGTATTTATTACTGCTTTGCAAATAGTTACAGGAAAAAAAGCAAAGGCTTAGCTCATGAAGGTGCAAAGGACATACTTAGGCAGAAATATAATGTATCGTTGTTGGTGTGAGTGTCAGAATTTGTCGGTGGTCTCTTATGCCACATATGCTAGACTGTAATTTTTTTTAATGAACTTATTTAACTGTCAAACCTGACATTGTGAAACAGCCTCTATTGTTCATGTATGTACAGAACGGCCAGTTGAACAATGCAGTGATTCCCATGGCTTTGTAAGATTTTCAGACTCTCCCAGAATGAAGTAATTGCTACTCCAAGCTGTGCAGTCATTAACTGGAGTAGACTTTAATGCCTGCTCATATGCAGGCTCAGTTACAGGCCTCCAGCTGTACAGGGGCCTTACGGTCGCTGTGAAGTCAGTGCAGTCAGAGGTGGCTGTACACACAGCCAAACCCATTAAACTACTGGATGTACTTCTCATGCCAGACTCCCATGCTCACACTGTCTGCAGAGGGAAGAGAGAAATGTCTCATTTCTTTAGATAAAAACAAACGTATTTGTAACCCATTTAGGAAGAGAAACTAAAGGATTATCAGGAAGGTGTGAGATGGGCATGCTGCCTTCCCCCAGTCTGCACAATACAGAATATCCAGAGAAAGCCAAGGGAGGCTGTGCAGCCCTCACACATCACACTGAAAGCAAGCATAGAGGGGGTCACCTTTCTGCAACAAAGATAGTATACAGGAATACAGACATTATTTGTTAAGTATTTCACTGGTATCTGAATCAAAGTCACTTAATCACAATTTATTGCATTCTGACACAAAGAAGACAATATCAGTATTTTTCACTTAATGTTTGAAAGACTATACCCCAGAGAAGCTGTAATGCCTCAAAAAAGCCTGACTACAGATTGCATATGGAGATAGTTTGATATTTTCACTCAAAACACACAATGAGAATATTCTCTAAGGCATTTCTAAAAATATGCCCGATTGCTAATATATTTAAAACATTATTTTCCTTATTTTCTGAGACTTCTGTTTCAGATTTTCTAAGTAGCAGCATGTAAATGTTGGTTTTGGGTTTTTTTCAGTTTTTTGTTTTGTTTTTTTCCCACACATCTGTACTCTTTCTTTTAGAGTAAGTTTAGCAGGAACGTGTGTACACAAAAGCACAGCTATATCCTACTCATATCCATTCAGTAAAAAAGCAGACAGCTCAAAGAAACATTGAAAAGAATAGCTGAGTGGTTGTGGTGGAAAGTATTTTTTGTTTTTTGACTTAAACAAAAAGACTTTTGCCAGAAAGGCAAAAGAATGCAAACAACATTAATGACTATTTCATCTTCAATTGTAATGTAAGTATAATCACAAAATCCTTCTTCTCTCAGTCTGCTCTTTGGGAAGCATTATTTTCCTTCTTCCAAAACAAAGAATGTGTGTTTTACATAGGACTTAGCCTTCTTTTAGGGCTTTATGATGATCTTAAGATTCTTGCTGACAAAAATTATGTCCAGATGATCTAATAACTGTACTTCTGTGCTGTATGGATTGTTATGTCCATAAGTCATTTTGGTACATGTCAAAATGAATAGATTTTACTTATATTAGCCTTAGACTCTGGATATATTACATACCAATTTCTTTTTAATGTTATATATGGTGGCAACTTTTATTCTTAAAGTTAATAACATTGTTACTTAATGTGTGGGGAATAGATAACCTACATAGAACTAATCTATTTTTCCATATGTTTGGTACCCTGTTTGCAAAACATTCAAAGTCTGAACAGTGCAATCAAACAGGTCTCTCTCTCTGCTGTACACTGTTAGCTATGACATGTTTGTAAAAGAAGGGAGTTGATTAGCTTTCTAAGACTAGTGAATATGCTACTTTTCAATAAGCAGGAAGTTCTCAAGTTCCAAAGGAAAAAAATGAATATCACTTTGGCCTGCAACCACTAACTTTTAACTTTGATTTTCGCAAAGAAAAATACTAACTGCATTGCTCAACTACTCACAGCAGGATTATGTAGTATTACTCCCTCAAAAATTTGTCAGAATAATCAACATAGCTGTTGTACAGAACAAGGGAAATTATAAAGTTTCATCTAACAAGTGCTAAGCATACCTACTTATTACATTTATATACCAATGGAGAACCAGGTATGAGATGTTACAAGATGAACTATATATTTTTAATTTACTGGACTGCACATTCAAGCCCTCACAGCCAAAATCTTTTCTTTGCCATATCCTTATTGTATGGCAGTCAGTCCTCCTTCCACAAGTGCAAATGTGGGTGCTGCAGCAACATCACCTCAGAAGATGCTGCAGAGTTGTGCTGCAAATGCTTGCTCACAGAGGAGGAAGACCAACTTGGGGTGCCATCTTTAAAAAATAAGCATCCCTGGTGGGGCTTCCCAACACTGGTTTCCACTGTGATGTTTCACTGGTCTACCTGGTCAAACACCTTGTAGTTGCTTAAAGAGCATTTTCTCTCCTACCTTCTCTTGTCCTCTGGTTTTTGGCACAAGTGCAAGTTCACAAGTTATTGCTGTTAAGACAGTAGAGAGAGTTTTCTGACAAAAAGAAGAGGATATCAGCATTTTTTACTTAATGTTTGAAAGACTATATCCCAGAGAAATTGTAATGCCTGCAAAAAAATCTGTGTTTGAACTGCTAACTGAGGGCTCACCTCCACTCACCTCCACTTGCTGCAAGGGGAGAAGGGGCAGAAATAAAGGGGAAACATAAAGGACCTGTGGAGTGCTCCCCCCACCACTGCTTACGCTCTGTCACAGTGGCATTGCTGCTTTTATAAGAGCCCACCAAGTATTTCTGCATTAATGGGCATGTTCCCATCCCTTGTGAGGGAAGAGAGATCTTTACAAAGAATTGTGTTCAGTAAATTTAAAACAATGAGCGTGAACTGTGTATCTTTTAAAAATAATAGAAGAGTGCTGCTTTTATATCTATATAATAAATGCAGGAATGTTAGAGGAAGTGCATTTTCTCACCAAGATCATGGGGCTTTTTGGGGAAAATATACAGGCATGGCTTTGTAGCTCTCCAGCGTGGTTGTCACACACTAACAGAGTAGAACAGCACTGTAAACAAGAGAGGTTTGCACAAACCCAGCTTGTGAGGTGCATCATCAGCCAAGCAATTGCCTCTGCTATTGGACCCCTCAGCTCCCTTCAACCTGTTGCAGGTTTTAAATGTATGGAGTTTTACTGACAAGTAGGAACAAGTTGCCTTCAAACACTGTGGAGCCTCATTGCTGTGCCCTGGTGCTCTGGACAACAGCTGAAGTTAGCTGAAACAAACCAGAAACACAGCAGCAGCTTAAGGAAATGTGCTGAGTTTATGCTGAATTTCATTATGCTCCTTTTTCCCCACTGTGAATTCTATAGCTTTTCTAACTTGTGGTGCTCTATCATTTTATGCATTCAGCCTTTGGATGGTTAAATCAAGGTATTCTTCTGTTTATTCAAGAAAAAAAAAATCTTTTGCTTCATTTTGGGCCAAAATCTTTTTGCTAGAAAAAAACATTATATTGTTCTATTTCTCTACAGTTCTAAAGGTTACTACAGCATAAACTCACAGTTCAGTCAGTCATTCCTTGGATTAAACTACTACATCTTCTTTTAGCTTGCTGTGCAGTTTTATGCCATGGAAACTCTGGTAAATTCACTGACATTAACATTATATAAGAAATAATGTACCTTTGGAGAGGAAGGAGGGTGATATAAACACTCTAATCTACATTACTACTGTACAAATTTAAGTTAAGCATTGCTTGTCTTTAGTCAGGACACTTTCTTTGGTGAAGAGATCCAAATTCTGAATTTTTTGCTATAAGTTGCCAATGTCAGGAAAACCAAGACAGTTTTTTTTCTTAAATGAAGACAAGTGTCTACATTCACACTCTTGTACAGACTGAATACAGTCATTTTAGAGACTGATTTACTTAAACAGAAATTTAAACACACGTGTAGACCAATCCATAGTGGGGGGTTTAATTTCCTTTTTCTTCAGCAATTTTTAAGGATGGAAAATGCCACTCGGACAGTGACACAAATGTACCATGAAAGGAATGTTAAATGAATTGACTGCAAAGATAAATGGCTACTGTTTTTCCCTTCATGCTCTCTAAAGTTGATCTGTATTGAATAAATGAAATTGTTCTTTCAAGTAGGTAATTCAGAAGCCTGTCACTAGAAAGCAACTGAATCTTTCCCAGCACAAAGCAGATACCTGATTTAATTGTTTGAAATTTAATGTAGCCCATGTCCGGGCATACCTGCATCATTGAATGAATTTTGACACTGTAGATGTCTTCTCTCTGGCTTAGTGATCAGATTCAGAATTTTGTTCTTGAAATAAGAGTTGTGTGTAAAAGCCTTACTTTTCTTTATATCATCTCATCACTCTTATAATATGTAGTCATTGAACTATTCAAATATAGACTGTGTACTTTTTTAATAGCTTTGAGACTTATTTTATATGATGATTTTTTTAAATGAATGTGTACTCTAATAACAAAGCTTAAGATTTTACAGGAGTCACATTTTTAAGCAGTGTTTGTATACATTTTAACACTTTTTATATTTTCTATTATGATTTTGTATATTTTTATGTATGCACAGTGTACAGATTTTTTCCTGTAAATAAAATATTTGTTTTCATTTGTTTACGAGTGCTGGTGTTTCCATATTGCCTTAAAGGAATGATACTGAACTGCTCGTGGAACAAAAGAGGGAAGGTGCCTGTCAGTTCTGCCCACAATTTCAGTGAAATCTCAAATGGAAATGGACAGCGAGGCTGACAAGTAGCTATCAGTAAACTACAGAAAAGTGGCAAATATTGTAAAGCCAGCTTTATTCTAAAATGAACATATGTACCTGAGCAGGTGCACTAGGATTCCCTGGGAGAATATATTCACCCTACTGCTCTATATTTGGCAGTAGATTTCTTATGGTAGTCAAGACCTATTTAAGGAGGTCACGCTCCAATGATTTGATGCTATACTTGAAATGCTGGTAAACTTCAGCTAAATGGCTGTGCCACCCATTCAAGGAATCCATTCTCATAAGAGAAAAGAACAGACTTATTAATAAATTATTCATTAAAATGAAAACCAACTTAACAAAGGGAAAATGTAACTTGTCATTCAGTCTGGGATGATACCATATAATTCAACCACTACAAGTCTGCTTACATATGTTAAATGTGAGGCATTCTGCTACTTTTGGTAGTCTTTCAACTATGCAGTGGCCAGAGCTGGGCCAATGGAGGTGCTAGTCAGTGTTTTCATCCCAGGGAGTCACCTTGAGTCCATGCTGACAATAAAGCTAGTTACACATTAGTGAAATGATAAAAGTTGGATTGCCATTGTGTATGCTCCTGGCAGCCAGTAATCGTGCAGCTCATCCTATGTATTACACCATGTCCTGGCAGGCAGTGTTGAGGGGATAATTACTGTATGTCATAATATGCAAGTAACACCTCTCAGAAAACTCAGAACCATGAGCTACACTAGGGGATAAACGGAATGCTGGGATGCATGAACAGAGCAACTGATTGATGCTTTTCAAATCCATCAACTTTGGTTTTACTGGTTTTTTTTCATTTAAAAAACAACAACAAAACATCATCACTGTGTTCCATCTATTAAAATGCTCAGTCAACTTCACTGTCTATAACAAGAGAGGACATTCTTGTCTCACTCCATTCAAACCTGTACTTCAGTAGGAGGTTGACATCCTTGAACTATATTGTGTGGGGTACAGGG